CGGAGATCACTCGAAATCCACGTATCGTGCCGACGAGTGGGCTCTTGGGTGTTGCAGTTTGACGTGCATAAGCACGTCTCCACTCACGCATTTTCTCCAAACTTCGGCCATATGCGTGAGTGCTGCGACAAATCTTCAATCGTCGATTTGATATAGAACAATCGCAACTGACGACAAGGATGTGTCTCAAAGTTGGTGTGAACACCGTGCATTGAGAGTAAAGAAGCGGGCCACGCGACACTAATATAGTATCCACGCGCAGCATCAGTGCTCTCTTTCGGTTTAACAATCTTCGATTAAAAAGGGGAAGGGCATTGTTATAACACTGTTTCAACAGAATATACGCAACGTTTGTTAACCTCTAAATCGTCTCCAATTTTTTTTCTAACACCAACCAGATCTCGTCGCTATCCAGTGCCTGGAGGCACGAACCACTCTAGACAATCCTGGGAATAGTCAAAGGGGCACGTTACCTCCCGGGGTTCAATTGATAATAAATAAAGAACGGTTACAGGACAGTGGAATTAAAGGACGGGAATTAAGTATCGCTTCGATCTCGATCGCCGATTTTAATTAAAACGATATTAAACTGCTCATAAGTCAACAACGTGTCTCCCACGATTTTATGCAAGTGATTTTTAAATGATTTAACAGCAGCCTCCCATAATCCCCCAAAATGCGGAGATCTGGGAGGAATGAAATGCCAATAAGTATCTTGCTCTGTACAAAACTGCTGCATTTTATTACGGTATTCTTCGGACGTGAAATATGCTTGAATAGCTACAATTTCATTATTTGCTCCTACAAAATTCGTCGCGTTGTCAGAATAAATATTTTGGGGTTTGCCTCTTCTAGAAAAGAATCGTTTGAGAGCACCCATGCATGCTTCAGTAGTTAGATCTGATACTACCTCTAAATGAATAGCCTTTGTAGCAAAACAAACAAATACAGCTACATAAACCTTTACCTTCGAGCGATTGCGTAACTTTTTCTCTTTTACAGAGAACGGTCCACAATAATCTAAACCTACGTTTTGAAACGGTCTTGACTGTGTAACCCGGTTGACTGGCAAATCACCCATTATA